GGCTGCAGGTCCCAATCTCTCGATAGCTGGGGAGGATAAATATCTTTCCATCTGTTTGCTTAAATTTTGTATTTTATTTTTTAAATAAAATATATTTTATTGATTTTTTACAGAGAGGAAGGGAGAGGGATAGAGAGTTAGAAACATCGATGAGAGAGAAACATCGATCAGCTGCCTCCTGCACACTCCCTACTGGGGGATGTGCCCACAACCAAGATACATGCCCTTGACCGGAATCGAACCTGGGACCCTTGAGTCTGCAGGCCGATGCTCTATCCACTGAGCCAAACCGGCCGATGTTTCTTTCTCATCGATGTTTCTAACTCTCTATCCCTCTCCCTTCCTCTCTGTAAAAAATCAATAAAATATATTTTTTTTAAAAATGAAATACATAATTCTTGCTCACAGATGATAGAAAAGTAATCTCCTTAAACTCCAAATGAGAAAGATCAGCACCCTCCATTTCATCAAACAACTTTGAACACTTATAACACCAGTCTGGTATTTGGCATTCTGGAATCTAGAATCTAAAAGTGGTTTTTTGAAAGAAGCACTGTTAGTAATGAATCACAGGTTATGAATGTATTTTACAATTTCCCTATCTACAGTCATTGGACATGCATAATCAACACAGTTGGCAAGTGTGATACACTATCATTTAGGGATAGGTTAGATAGATAGATAATGTAGAAGAATATAAAATTAACACCATCCTTTGAATTGCAGGTGAAGCTGTGTGACTTTGGTTTTGCACGCATCATTGGTGAAAAGTCATTCAGGAGGTCTGTGGTAGGAACTCCAGCATACTTAGCCCCTGAAGTTCTCAGAAGCAAAGGTTACAACCGTTCTCTAGACATGTGGTCAGTGGGAGTTATTGTCTATGTGAGCCTCAGTGGCACATTTCCTTTTAATGAAGATGAAGATATAAATGACCAAATCCAAAATGCTGCATTTATGTATCCACCAAATCCATGGAAAGAAATTTCTGGTGAAGGTAAAAAAAATGTTTAGCTCTATGCCTTTTAAGTCTGAAAATCTTTGTGACCCCCGCCCCCCCCCCATCAGCCGTTTTTTACTTTTATATATATACATCTTCTATTCATCTTCCAAATTCAATTAGTTACCTGTTTTTGAGCGCTCTTCCTTATAATTCCCAGGCATAGCACTAATCCAGGCCCCACTTGGCTCATTTTGAACTACTAAAATCTCTGTCCTTTCTAGTCATCACTGGCAAATGCACCTTCAGGAAACACGTTTACTTTCATATCATTGGTCTCCCTGTAACCACGCTGCAGCTATTTCTGTGATATGACCCAAGCTTACTTCCAGCTTCACCTCCCACGACTCCCCTATATAATCCTGGACTATTTTCTGATGAGGTCTCTGCCTACAGTCCCTCCTCAGGTTCTTTATATCTAGAATGAGCTTTATAGTCAGTAGAATCTCCAGTTTGTTTTCAGCTCTCCTGTGGACCCCTACTGGAAAGCTTTATACATTTATTTTTCCTGCCTAGTAAAGGGTTTTGAGTTTGCTATTCCTGGTTGTGTCCAGCAAGGATGACTTGGTTAGCCTTTAATTGATACCCAAACACTAACCTTAAAGCTAAATTTAATCATAACCCTAACAACAAAAAAACCACTGTTGAGTATGAACTTTTTAAAAAATATGATTTTAGAGAGAGGGATAAGTAGAAACATCGGTGAGAGAGATACATTGATTGGCTGCCTTCTGCACACCCCCTACTGGGGATTGAGCCTGCAACCCTAGTATATGCCCTAACTGGGAATCAAACCAGTGACCTCTTGGTTCATTGGTCAACACTCAACCACTGAGCCACACCAGCCAGGCTTGAGTATGAACTTTTGGTAGTAACTTATCACCTCAATCTAACCATGGAGGCAAGGTAATGGCCTTGGCAACTTTTCTAGACCAAGCCAGGGACTAGAAAGCAGTGTGATGTCAATATGATGGAAGGGGGAGGGCATTATCTTGTAATCAGCATCTGTTTTATTCATCTTGAAATAACATGTGAATACTTAGCATTGTGTGCTAAGCACCATTCTAAGCCATTTACGTGTATTAAGATAACGCCATCTTCTCAACAACCTTATTTTACAGATGAGGAAACAAAGGCAGAGTAGAATTTAGTAACTGACGTTGTATCACAGAATAGGTGGCAGAATGACTTCAGCCCAGCCTGGCAGGCTCCACTCTTTTTTTCCCCCCCCTAAGTTTTGTTTGTTTTTTAATGGAATTTATTGGCGTTACAGTGGTTAATAAAATTATATAGGTTTCAAGTGTGCAATTCTATAATACATCATCTGTATTATTATGTGTTCACCATCCAATCTCCTTTCTCCACCACTTATTCCTCCTTCACCCTCTTATACATGCCCCCACCCCTCCTTTCCCTCTAGTAATCACCATACTGTTGTTTGTGTCTGAGTTGCTTTTGCTTAATACCTTCACCTATTTCACCCAGCCCTGTTCCCTTGTCAGTTTGTTCTTTCTGGGTCTCTTTCTGTTTTGTTCATTAGATTCCACATATAAGTGAAATCACATGGTATTTGTCTTTCTGACTGTGTGGTTTCACTTATAATACCCTCTAGTCTAGGTCAGTGATTCTCAACCTTGGCTGCACATTAGAATCACCTGGGAATCTTTTTAAAATCCTGATTTCTGGGCCTCATCCTCCGGAAATTCTGTTTCTTGGTTACTAATGTTGTGGCCCCACCCCATAACAAAGAAACAGAATGTAAATAGGTGGTCTAGTTTCATGTTTTTGCACATATCTGTCCAATTTTCCAACACCATTTATTGAATAGACTGCCTTTACCCTATTGTATGTTCCTTGCCTCGAATATTGACCATAAAGGCATGGGTTTATTTCTGGGCTTTGTTTTGTTCCATTGATCTGTATGTCTGTTTTTATACCAGTACCGTGTTGTTTTGATTATTATGGCCTTATACTATAGTTTTATATCAGGTAGAGTAATTACCTCTAACTTTGTTCTTCTTTCTCAAGATTCCTTAGGCTATTTGGGGTCTTTTGTGGTTCCATATAAATTTTTGGAATATTTGTTCTAGTTCTGTGAAATACACCATTGGTATTTTGATAGGAATTGCATTGAATCTATACATTGCTTTGGGTAGTATGGACATTTTAATAATATTAATTCTTCCTAGCAGAGTCTATACTTTTAACCTGTATTTTATATTGCCTCCTTAATAAAACAGATACACTGTAAATTCAGTAAACAGTTTCATGGATCATTAACATCTTAGTTTAAAGGCCATGTCCTTGAGGGGAAAAAAATCCTCAACCCTTTATGTATTTCTATGGCTTGAACTGCCTTCCAGGCAGTGCCACAAGTTTGGGGTGCTTTGTACTCCCAAATTCATGTATCTAATTTTGTATTTTCCTTAGCAATTGATTTGATAAACAACCTACTTCAAGTGAAGATGAGAAAACGTTACAGTGTGGACAAATCTCTTAGTCATCCCTGGCTGCAGGTAAAAAAATGTGTATCTCTTTGTCAAACCTCATTTGAGCAGATCATTATGATTTCTCTTACCTAATGAAACTACTGTAAGATCAACAGGCTCTACACATCTTAGAATAATGTAAGTGTCCTATGGTGATAATTTGTACTGTGGCTGAATCTCTCGAAGTTTTTGCAATAACACCACTGAAGTGCAGAACTGATAGGCAGTTAAACGCCCATCACCTGAAAGCAATGAATTTGCCTTTCATGGGGCTTTATGTGTTCGTTTCACCTTTTTGTACAATGAGCATAACACATTATTTTCAAGTATACTTTACTTTTAAATAAATTTCTGTTCAAAAGTTCATATTTGCATTGAAGAGACTGGAAATGCCATTTGAAACATTTGCCTTAGTTCCTCCAAAAGCTATTTTATAGATTTATAAAAAGGTACCCACAAACTTCAGTATAAAGAGAGAAGCTTTAGAACTATTGTAAGAGCAGTGAGGGGTAGAATTAACTTAAAAACAAATGCAATCAGTTATTCTCAGGGTTTATTAAATTACTCTGATAATAGATTCTAGCTAAGCACTTTCCCCTATTTTAAGGAGTAAGTCATGGACCTCTCATAGTATAGAACAGAATGTTTTAGTGATTATTAGCCACCTCAGAAGCCTGAGACAATTTTTTAACTTTAGAAACTAGTTAATTTCTTCATATTCAGTTTGAAAAAGTATCTTTAACACTGATAATTTAAAATATTACAAATGGAACTTACTTTATAGCAAGTACTTATGAGTAGGAGCTTGTCAATTATATGATTATGGTGCTAAAACAAAAAAGTTGACGGATTTTGTTTCTTTTATAGTTCATAGTCACTTCATTTTCTTCTAGGACTATCAGACTTGGCTTGACCTTAGAGAATTTGAAACTCGTATTGGCGAACGTTACATTACACATGAAAGTGACGATGCCCGTTGGGAAATACATGCATACACACACAACCTTGTATACCCAAAGCACTTCATCATGGCTCCCAATCCAGATGACATGGAAGAAGATCCTTAATTATCAATGAGCTAACTTCAGTAAGGAAAGATTTCATTTTATGGACAGATATTTTGCTGCACAACTGTTGTTCTTTGGAGGCTGTCATCTGCAAGGATGCAAAGACATGAGGAAATATGATAAGGAATCAGTGACACCAATACTGTAGTTCATAATGAGTAGGTACAAGAGGGGAAACAGTGATAAAGACACATAATGACACCAAGATGAAGCTTTCCTAAATTTTTATAGCATAAGAAATAACTGGTTTTTGTATTTTTTTTCCTAATCCTTCATTTTAGTACAATAGTGGCACTTAATTTATCTTCCCTTTCCTGTTCTTATATTATTTTCAAGAAAGGGGACAGATAGGCAAGCTAGAATCCAATTACATAGCTTGACCAAAACATATAAGAGTTACAAGGTTGATTACTAAACAATTAAATTTAAAGAGATATCAGAGAGGCTGCTGGCATATGATTTCCTATAAAGACTTTAAACATTTGTTTAACTGACCCTAGAGGGATTGATGGGTTTTTCATATCTGCCTTAAAAAGGAACGCTGGATTATTTTACCTTTCTTTTTTAGGTCAATCAGGACTCCAAACTCTGTTTTGGAGTTGAAACTCTGAATATGCTCTCTACAACATAAAAATTAAGTTGTCACCTTTTGTTACAATAGCCTCTAAGATAATTTTGGGCAACTGATGTTACAAAACCAGGAACTGCTAATCTGAGTGATGAGTTACTATGTATGTCTTCTCATAGCTCAACTCTGCTGCTAATAAATAATGTTCTCACTGACACCACTATGATGCCACAATTAGATTCCAGCATTCAATGGGTATAGACCTAAACTATAATTATATATCTTAACACAGGGCTGAATAATTTGAGGGAGGAAATTAATATATACTAAAAGTAACACCAGTGCAGGGTCAGTTAAAACTATAGGAAAGAATAGCAAACAGTGTCCTTTTTTTTCTTCCCTTAGGTTATTGGAAGGCTGTACAGATGTCTAGAATGTTTTTAAATCAGTTATTTTAAACTGTTTGGGTTGAGCATAAAACCCTTAGAAGGGTAGGACTCTATGATCAGCAGAGAAAATGAAAGGATAAGTATTTTTAAAACATTTCAGCTCCAGCAGCCAGCTAAATAAATTTTTTTCTACTCAGATATGTGATTTAAGAGATTAGACTTTTTCATAGCTTTTTAAGAGTTACTAATAGTTTCCCCCCCCCCCAAAAAAAATTAATATCTGGGACTTATAAAATCTATGGCTTTTTGTTTCTCCACTCTTCAGTAATCATTGTAAACTTTTTTTCCTCCAAAAAGAGCAAGAGATGTGTAATTAGTAGATCTGGGTTTAAGTCTTATAAGTCTTGGCTCCCTGTATTAGCTGTGTTGGCCTGGCCAGGTGACAATCTGTCTGAGCCTCGAATTCCTTAACCTACAAAATGAAGTTCCTAATTCTTGCCTCTACCTTCCTCACGGTGTTGTTTTGAAGATGTTATATATGAACATAGTCAATAAGCTAAAAACTATAAAAGTGTTCATTGTCACTGCCCACTGAACTAGAGGTAGCAAAGGAAAAGATTGTTCCTCTTTTAACAAAGACTCGGAGAACTTTTCACAATCTTTGAGTAGTAGCAAGCGTGTATTGTTGATATGTTCTGAGCTCTTTTTACACTCAACAGTCATGAGCTAAGTGCATAATGAACCCCATCTCACAAACAAGGAAATTGAGGCACAGGGAGATTAACTAGCTGCTGATGTTCACACAGTTAGTATTTGAACCCAGACAGTGTGGCTCTGGAGTCCCTCTTACCCTTCTGATCGTTTTATTATACTGCTTCCCCATAAAGGTCTCCAGGAGATGGTCCACATCTCTCAGTATTTCATTCTCACAGGAGCTTTAAAACTCAAATTCTGCAAAACCTTTTAGAAATATGTTTTCCCTAGGATAGATGACTTCCCTAAATTTCTCCAAAGTAAGTCTGTTTATATCACTGTGCTAAAAAGGAATAATTCTGAGTCAGTAGGCATCCTATTATGGTTTTACTACATAAGGTGAAAATTAACTGGAATGGTATTTGTTTGCTATACTTATATAATCAAACGTTACAAGCCATGAAATTATTGCACTCTTTTTGTCGTTGAATGCCTAAGAAGTTTTCTAAATTTGTAAAGGCACTGTCAGATAATTTGGAGTTGAGTAATTGCTCCAGATACTGTATAACCTGCATAACCTTTTTTTTTGTCTTGAAATCAAGTTGTTTGTATAAAAAATAATTGTGAGAAACATTTGATAATGTACAAAATAGTCTATAATGACACTGTTCAGTACATTTTTATATTTTTTGTTACATCCCACTTTTTGTAAATATCCTCAAAAAAGCTTAATAATAAAATGTATTTCCATATCACCATACTTTTCCATGTGAAAACCTGAGCCTATCTCTGGTCGAGATATCCAAAGAAAATTTTATTTGGTTGTGTTATTTTCCCAGGCTTTGGTAAGAGAACTATTTTGGAAATAGTATTTGTAAATGGAACTAATGCTATATTTAAGAACAATGATTTTTTTTAACTGCCTAAAATAAAAAAATAACTCATTATTATAATTTGATATGCAATTTGAGGTAATTAGAGGTCTCATTTCTTGGAATTAAAGTCTGAATAATTATAACAATACATTTTTAAGGCACTACTATTAAATAATCCACTACTGCAGTGCCAGAAGACTTGAACGTATACCTAATACCAAAGTGAATTTCCTAGGTTTTAAGATATAAGGCATTGCCTGACTCTCCTATTAAATGGCCATTTTGGTTGTTTCCAGTTTTCCATAGGCTTTCTTACCTTCCAAAAATTGTCCCAACTAAAACTTTGAGGGAAAAAAATCATGGGAATAGAATAAGGGTGGCTAAGAATGGCCCAAGGCTGGACAGTATCTGAAAAAATAAGGCCTCCATGTTCCTTTACTTTAGAGTGACACACAGAATGCTAATTCTATTCTCAGTTAAGCCAAAGAAGCAATAAAAAGCAACAGTTCATCACTGCCAGTGAACTCCAATATAGTTCAAGACACATGGCTAATATCCTTTTCCTTTAATCTCACTTGTAAATTTGTGTTGCTAAAATAGCAATGTTTCAGAAAGTCCGTATGTCTGGTATTAACACATTTCGTACCGCTCAGGAGTTTTCTCGTGTTTCGCGCGCCATCTGTCAAGGACCGCTCACGAGTGTTCTCGTTTTTCACGCCCATGGAAAAAGGAGCGAATCTAGATACTTATGTAAATTTTGTTTGGTCCCTCTTCATAGAGGAAAATGTTTTACGCAGTACCATACGTTAAGAAAGTACTAGGAACTTTAATTAATTGTTTAATTGTTTTTGTAAATAAAATGTTATAATTATTGAAAAACAACACCTAAAGTGCATTATGATGATTTAAATAATGTGCAGTTTGCCCAAAAACGTGCGGTCCCTGGCGTATGTCTGAGAGATTTCTATGCAGTACGCAATGTGTTAATATAAAAGTTCTGCCCTGACTGGTTTGGCTCACTGGATAGAGCGTCGGCCTGCGGACTGAAGGGTCCCAGGTTCGATTCCAGTCAAGGGCACATGCCTGGGTTGCAGGCTTGATCCCCAGTGCGGGGGGCGTGCAGGAGGCAGCCAATCAATGATTCTCATCATTGATGTTTCTATCTCTCCCTTCTTCTCTGAAATCAATAAAAATGTATTTTTTTAAATAAAATAACTTTAAATGATTAACGTTTAGCCCTACATGGTTTGGCTCAGTGGATAAGCCTCGGCCCATGAACTGAAGGGTCCCAGGTTTGATTCTTGTCAAGGGCACGTAGCTCAGTTGCAGGCTCAATGCCTGGCCTGGTTGGGGCACGTGCAGGAGGCAACCAATCAGTCTCTCTCTCTCACATTGATATTTCTCTCTCCTCCCTTCCACTCTCTCAAAAAATAAATGGAAAAATATCCTTGGGTGAGGATTAACAAAGAAAAAAAAAAAGATGAACATTTAGTAGTATCTATACATATAAAAGGCTAAGCGACCGTCTGACCATCTGACTGGTAGCTATGACACGCAATGACCCCCAGGGGGCAGATGCTCAACACAGGAGCTGCCGAGCTTCGGTGACTTGGCAGCAGCAATTCTCAAGTGACACACCTCAGAACCAGAGAGGAAGGAGCCTGATTCAGGGGTGCGTCACCCAAGAACCACCCTCTCGCAACCTGGGACCCCTCGGGGGGATGTCGGAGAACCAGTGTTTGGCCCGATCCCTGCAGGCCAGGCCGAGGGACCCCACTCACTCCCCAGGTGCCCTTTTAGCCACAGCGCTGCTCCAGGTACAGCTGGCCGGGAAGGGACCACGGGAGGTTGGCTCCAGGGCGTGTCCAGCCCCTCTCACCCAGTCCCACCTCACCAGCCACCTTTTAATTAATATGTGCATGAATCTGTGCACTGGGGCATTAGTTGTATATATAAGATGGGCTGTTTTTATTGGCTGTGAAGAAATAAAATACTTTTTTTTACCTTTGATATATGAAATTCATTTCCTTTATTTTAGTTTCTTAGGTAGACTTGGGGACTAAAAGTCCAAACTGAAATATCACTGCCAAGTAAGTTCACTAAATCCAGCCACAGGTGATGAAGAAGGTTTTGACTGATTTGCATTTATCTCATGGTTTCTACCATGAAGTCTCTGATGAGGCAGCAAGGCAAAAAAGTTAAATCGTTCTCCCATCTTCTTAGGATTCATTAACATATCATACCCCTGAAGTAACTGCTGCCTCAGTGATGGCTCAGTGGATTTATCTAGAAGAACCTGAAAAGAAAATTTCTTAGTAAAAAAAAAAAAAAACAGAAGGGTTTCCAGTTATATGTAGTAATAATGACTATTAGCTATTCAATAAAGCAGTGTTTAAAAAGTTATTTCTGACTACCTGCCTCAAAATCATGGGGTACTTATTGAAAACATAGGTTGCTATGACACAAACCTATGAATTTGTATGTTTAACAAATATTCCCAGATGGGCTGATCTACACTGAAGAGTAAAAATGTCCTCAGAACAGTTATAACATTCATACTCAAATTGCGGTTTTCTTAGTGAACATGAACACTACTTGAAAATCTTAATTCTACCCCTTATGGAGATGCATGAAAAGAAGGCTGCTCCGTGCCCAGGCCACCTGGTTAAACTAAATCCTATGCCACTGAAAAGACTGGCTGGCTACAAGAACATTTAGGCCAGGTAAACTTTTTAACTATTTGTTGGAAATACTGTGAAATTAAAATATTTAATATGGAAATAAACCATTACCTTTAGCCGGACATCAATGCCCATATTTTTTAAGAACGTTTGTTGTTTTATTGGACCCAGAGAAGCCACTGTTCCCTGTGCCATTCTGCGCAAATAACTGAAGTCCACGTCAGCTGTTAGGTCGGCTGTTCCTGGGGCAATTAAGACATCATGAAGCTTGTGGCCACAAAACCCCTTGAACATAATTTTTAAAATAATAAGTTTTTGTCCTTTTATGCTATTATCAAGATTAAAGAAGTGCTATGATTTTAGTACATTTTATATAACAACTGTTGAAAATATAGCTTAAGTCAGTGGTTTACACACTGTTAATGCAGTAGCACCATTTTCTATGTGGAAAACCCAGTATAAAGCACAGTGTTGGAGCGCCTGAAGATGCTGCTATCCTTAACAATTAACGTTTTCATGACTGCCCACGAATAGAGATCTCATTAATCCTCTGGATGAATCCAGGTTACCAGAACCTAGACAGTGTTTTACAAAGTCTAACCGTCAACTAGGTGCCTCAAAACCACCTGGGAATATGTTACTAGACTCTATCCAGAATTACTGAATCAGAATCCTGGAGGTAAAGCTAGGAAATCAGCATTTCTAATACACTATCCAGGCTTTCCTTAGATGCAATAAAGTTAGAAATGAGAACCAGAGATTTAGAAAATGACTAATAGCATCTAATTAAATATATTTCAATTAAAGTAAATTGAACATAACTGATCATATTCAAAGAATTTAAGAACATGTTTATGGAGAAGAAAAAAATAGTGCAAATCTTATAGGAAAAGTTTGAATGATTACAGTAGCTAGATCAAATCTGCAAAGTACCAAATTATTTCTTTAAATGAAGGAGGGGTAGAATATTAAAAAAACTTCAGGCAAAATTTTCCATTTATATATTTAGATGCTTAGTAGGATCTATGCAGACCTAGGTTCTGCAACTTGAGGAAGAATGTAGACAATTCAGACCCTGTTCAAAGGAAAGTTGGACAGTGGAGTTAGGCTTAGGAATAAGATCTAGAGTTAAAAGTAATTATAATATGAATTAATATTAATTATAAACTAATGTAATACAACAGTGTGAAGCACTATAGAAACCAAAGATAAAGATCTTAAATGAACTTCAAAACTAACAATTGATAACTAAGTAAATCATACCAATTAAATTCTGACAAGTCATGTTACTGAATTATACATACTCTGAAGGTATCTGTCTTAGTCCCATCATGACCGTAATCAGCAATCAGGGCAGCACCTCCAGTAAGAGCAATGCGTTGAGAAAGTTCCTGAATAATAACACCAGCCTCTGGACACACTTCCACATGATCCCTTGTCTCATCATGCTAGTAGGAACAGTTGAAAGAAAACACATCATTCAAAAGAACTGATTCCTTTGTTTTTCAGGTTTTCTGTATTTGCAGGTTTTTCTACAATGAGCATTTCTTATTTACAATAAAAATAAATTTGTTCTCAAACTGTCAAACTACAGCGGGAAGGCCGGGGAGGGTTGCGGGGGGCGGGGGAGAGGGGGGGGGGTAAGAGATCAACCGAAGGACTTGTATGCATACATATAAGCATAACCAATGGACACAAGACACTGGGGGGTATGGGAGGCCAGGGATGGTCAAGGGGGAAAAAAAAAGGAGACATATAATACTCTTTGTAATACTTAAAGCAATAAAACAAAATTAAAAAATTTGTTCTCAATATGAGTATGTTCTGTACACTCAACTTTTCACAAGTCATCCTCTTTGTTATACAAAACTCTTTGGTTCTTTGATGCCGTCCACTAAGCTTACAAAGATATTTCTATAAACAAGTATATGTTGTGGCTACAGGCATCCCAATGATAAGCTCTATATCTAGAAACATCAGCTTATGAACTAGTGCCAATGCACCCGGGGCCTTAATTTCCCAAGATGTTCAGGTATTAACAAAGGGTCCTCAATAAGTGCATATTAGCTTAAAAAGTGAAATGACAAAATTAATACTCATTAGCTTGACTAGTATATATGAAGTTTCACTAATTCCTGAGATAATGAAAAATTTTTTTCTTCATTAGTAAAACATACACTAACTCTTGCCCCTCCTAACACCCTATTAGAAATGAAGTATTGACCCTGATGTTTCTGCCTGTAATGGCACAGGTCTAATAGGTACAAAGTCAGACAAACTAGCTTCTGAGTCTCAGCTCCTCCTCCTGCTTACTAGAAATCAGTTCCTCTTGGAGTCCGCTTCCTCATCACATTATGTACCAGGTCTTTCGTGAGGATTACATGAAACAATGAACCACTTAC